CCCTCTCAGACAGCCTCTCCTGCCTAAACACCAGTACCCTCTCAGATCAAGGAACCTCCCCCAGAATCTCTGTCTTGGTTTTTCCCTTTTAACAGACTAACCCCACCTTTCAAGGCAATTTACTCAAGTCTAGCTATGAAATTCCATCTTCCAACTCTCCCTCCACAATACCTCATATCCCCCTTGCCTTGCTTTCTTTTTTCTGATAAACCTTACTATCTTCTACTCTGTTATTTTTTTTTCCCCCACTAGAAGAACATAATCCCCAGGAGAGCAGGATTTTGCTTTGTTTTCTTCATGGCTGTATACTAAGAGCCTAGAACACAGAATTGTATGTAGAGGCCATGTGACAAGTATCTTAAGTGAATAGATTAATGAATGACTATTGGGCAGTTGGATAAACATATTTAGAACTCCAAGGAAGCCTGAAAAGGATCTGAGTCACTGATTTACAGGTATAAATGTGAGCTGCTAAGGAGTTTAGCCTCCGGGGGGTGGGGGGGAATGAAGAGTAAGAAGAGGATCTAAATTCAATGGGAAATCCCATCGTTAATGGCCACACAGAGGAGAGGATGTGCCTATGAAAGAAACCAGAGGGAGCAAATAGAGATAGAAAGACAACCAGCAATCTCCAAGAAGAAAGCTAAATGCTGCCAATAGTTCAAAGATACTGGTTAGCAACAGCAAAATCAAGTTCAGTGCTGAGCCTTACTATACGGGGAGAAAGCCATAAACAAAACACGTGGTTTGGGCTTCTGTGAACCTTAGTTTAGTGTGGAATACACTAGGACAGAAACAGTGTCCTACAAGGAGCACATAACAGAGTGAATTAATCTATTCTAAGAGACTGATCAAAGCCAATTAAACTGCCATTTCTTTTTATCATACTAGCAGGAAAGGCTCAAATTAAATCAGTTATATAAAATTTATTTTCCTGTATTTTTTCCTATGGCTGTTGTAACCTAGAAGAAAATCTCAATCTTTCAAAAGTTTTTGTTTCTTAAAAACAAAATCGGTCTCTACGAAAGTTAAGACTGAATGCTACAAAACAACATCCAACCATCTATTCACAATGTCCACCTTTTGAAAAGCAATCACCTTATTCCATGGTCAAACTGTTACTGTAAAACCTTTAACTGGTTAACAGCATGGTTAAACTATGATAAAACTGTTAGAAGCAGTTGGCCCTTATTTGGATTAATCAGAAGCCAAACATTTCCTATAACATAACCACAAAGTCTAATGTAAAAGTCACTGGCCTCTAACCTGGATGATAAAGATCTACTCCCAATGAGAGTTTTATTTACTTCAATGGAGATTTAAATATATGGGAATCACAGACTTGCATACTTGGCAGAATTTTCTGGGTAAATTTTTTAGTTCAAAATACAATGTGCATGCAATGTACGACTGGGTTTTAAAGACATGCCCTGATAGGTTGTAAACACGTTAGTAATTTGAAATTGAAATTAAGATAGTTACTTAAGCAAAGTAGTCCAGGAGAAAAAAAAGAAAATGATCTAGGCATTCTTCCTAATGACATGGTGAAATAATTAACTTATTTATGAGAGGGGGTATAGTACAGCAGTGGGGAATTTCTGAGTATTTATAAATAAACAACCTTGGAACTGCGAATGGTACTACCAGTCTCCTAGTTACAAAGCATTGCTGTCATCTTGAACACCTCACCTTCAAATGTATGTTTAGTCTTTCCATTTAAATGTCACTGGCCTAGGCTGGGCACCCGTGGCTCAGTGAATAGGGCGCCAGCCATATACACTGAGGCTGGTGGGTCAGAGGCCGGCCGGGGCCAGCTAAACAACAATGACAACTACAGCCAAAAAAATAGCTGGGGATTGTGGTGGGCGCCTGTAGTCCCACCTACTCGGGAGGCTGAGGCAAGAGAATTGCTTAAGCCCA